TGAACAGTGATGCTTAATAGGTACATCTGACCAGATGTTAATTGTGTTTTGTTGTGATTCAGTTCTTACTTCAAACGAAAAGAGCAGCTGAGGAGGAAAGGCTAGCCAGACAGAGAAAACGGTATGAAGATTTTAAAAGGATGTTAGAGGTAAGATGATATATCTGCCGCTGCATGATATATCTGCCTTTCATTTTTAGGAAATTATAAAGTACATAAAATCACCTGCATGCCGCTTATCTTTATTTTGGACATTGATTTTTTTTATACCAGGAATGCGTGGAACTTACTCCTTCTACTCGGTGGAGGTTTGTTCTCGAGGTTTGTTCTCCAGAATAACTCTGATTCCAATTCATTCTTTTTCCCTACGAGAATTACTGCAATTTCTTTTGTGATATAATGTTCGTTCTAAATCCAGTAAGGCTGTGACAATGTTTGAAGACGATGAGCGTTTCAAAGCTCTTGAACGAGAAAAAGACCGTCGTAATATTTTTGAAGATCATGTCAGTGAGCTAAAAGAGAAGGTATTAAATGGTGTATATATTAATGAATCTTGTGTTGTTTGAAAAGTAACTGCTTTTTTGTTTCTCCCATTTCTTTTTTATATACATGCATGTATTTTTGACATTAGTTTTCCACTGGAAAATTTTGCCCAGAGTGGTCATTTGAGACTTTTTCTTAATTCTAATAACTTTTATCATTCATTTGAAACTTAACATCTGTTAGTCAAGTGTGTACCTTCTCTTAAAAATTGAACTTCATTTACAACGTGTGTCTCTACTCTTTATAATATGTGAGGACCAAATATCAAAATAGTTTTACTTTGTTCAAAGTTTTGGCATTAACTTTGATTTGGGTTCCGTTGTTCATAATGCGGTTAATTTTATAAGGAGCGTGTGAAAGCTCTTGAGGATCGCAAGCGGAACATAATTGAATACCGAAGATTTTTGGAATCTTGCAATTTCATCAAGGTGATTGTCCCGCTTTTTAAATTTTTTATTATTCCATGCTATATTGTGGTAATTCATTCTGACTCATATTTTCCACCTTCAGCCTAATAGTCAATGGCGCAAAGTTCAGGACCGCTTAGAAGTGGATGAAAGATGTTCACGTCTTGAGAAAATTGATCAGCTAGAAATCTTTCAGGTAATTTCATTGATCATGAACTATCTTCCCATTCCACACTCGGCTAACTTTAACTCTTGTACAGGAGTATCTGGGTGATCTGGAGAGAGAAGAAGAGGAGAAAAAGAAGATACAGAAGGTACTTAGGTATTCGGCCTTTAGTTGACATTTATTTGTTTGTTGTATTGAATATTACTTCATTATATCTGATATTCATGACAACAGGAGGAACTCAAAAAAGCAGAGCGAAAGCATCGTGATGAGTTCCGTGGGCTGATAGAGGAACATATTGCAACAGGAGAGCTTACTGCCAAAACTTTATGGCGTGATTATTTAATGAAGGTTATATAACTCAACTACATATTATGTCACCCAGAATTATTATTCCATTTCAAGTATTGAACTGTTTTGATAGGAAATGAATTCTACATCTCAGGTCAAAGATTTACCAGTATATTCAACAATTGCGTCGAACTCCTCTGGAGCTACTCCAAAAGACTTATTTGAAGATGCTGTTGAGGATTTGAAAAAAAGGGTACTAGATTATTCTCAATAGTTTACTTTCAAAAATATCGTGAAAGTGACTGTAATCTGTTACATGATGAGAAAACTGCTTTGCGGTCTCTAGACTGATTCCTTTTGAAAGACAGTAATTTTTTTACTAAGTAGTTCTGGTAGCATTATTTTGCTAGGTTTATGAATAGTGGCGTCTTCTGTTTCCATTTCATGTTTATTTTTGCTTCTTCTTTTTTTTCTGTCCTTAATTCCTGAATTAACCATCTGTATATTTTATGTGTTTTTTTCTTCACAGTACCACGAGCTCAAGTCTCAGATAAAGGATGTATTGAAATTGAGAAAGGTACGCATTTTGTTTCTGCAAGTATTTATGGATTTTATAGGTTTTTAATAATTTCAATTTACTTCCAGGTAAATTTATCCGCTGGATCAGCATTTGATGAGTTCAAGGTCTCAATTTCCGAGGATATTGGTTTTCCACCTATTCCTGACGTTAGACTAAAGGTCTGTAGATCTTTGCCTTGACTTTTAAAATTTCATTTCCAGATGATGTGTGAAGATACACTATCTTCTTGCTTCATGATGCATAAACTAGTTCAAGCACAGTAAAACGCTCACTTCAGTGTTAGCATATTCTTTATTTAACCTTTAATGTCTCATTTGGATATGACTGCAAACTATTTGGTGATGCTTCTCAGGTAGTCTTTGATGATTTGCTGGAAAGGGCAAAGGAGAAGGAAGAAAAGGAAGCCAGAAAACAGACAAGGCAGACTGAAAAGTTGGTGGATATGCTTCGCTCCTTCAAGGTGTTGAATCTATTTAGTTTGATTTCTGTATAATGTTATGTGATGGATGAACTTTAGGGTGGTGGGCTTCTCCCTGATTATTTGCTTTGGTGCAGGATATAACTGCCTCTTCATCATGGGAGGAATCAAAACATCTTGTTGAAGGTAGTGAAAAATGCCGGTACGTTTTTCATTTATTCTACCCTTTCATGTTAAAGTTTCTGACTGGATCCTGTTTTTTTGCTATATTTTGGTCTCCTAAGTTCCAACTTCCTTCTCATATTCATCTCTATCACCAAATTGTCTTGCTCTTTATATAGAATATTTGTGCTTTTCTAGAATGGGTTTCTTATGTCGATGTTACAGCAACCACGTTTGTGCCCTTTCTAGTATTTTGATTATCTATTATTTATTGCTTCTGTATATGTAGTACTATTGGCGATGAGAGCTTCCGGAAGCAGACATTCGAAGATTACGTTTCACTCCTCAAAGAGCAATCAAAAAGGATCAAACAGAACAAGAAGGTAATGGTGGATTTGTGTCTATGAAACAGTTTGCTCGAATCTAGCATTTAACAGTTTTGGTGGAACTCTCATAATTCTTTGTCTAGTACGTCAATCTATTGGAGTCATTTTAGACTGTAAGAGGAACTTAATGGTATTGAGATTCTCTGTCGTTCGTAGCTGCTACCATAAGTGCACTACGATACTTCAACTTGTAGTTATAGATGATTCAACTATTACGTACTGATGGCATGTCCGCAAGCTCACAGAATGTTATATTACTACAGGTACCCGAGGATGTGAGAGAGGAACATGACAAGGGGAGAGATAAATACGGAAGAGAGAAGGACAGAGTGCGAGAAAGAGACAGTGACGATCATCATAAGAAAGGTGCAGCTGGTAATTACAACCATGATATGAATGAATCCCATGGAAAAGAGCGTAGAAGATCAGGAAGAGATAGCCATAACCGACATCGAGAAAGACATACTAGTGTGAAGGAAAATGACACAGACCATTTCAAAGAATCCCAAAAAGCTGGCGGTGGCCATAAGAAATCAAGACATCAGGTACACTAAATCACTTTTTAAGGGAAAAATGGGTACAAATAGAAAATAACCGTATAGAGTAATATTTGTGTCTAGGTTTTAAGTCGAGAAAACCTTAGAGTATACTGTGGTATAGTATTATTCGATCCATGACAATTCATTAAGTATTTGGATTGGTTGCAGAAATGCTGCTTCTACTGAAAACAGTCTTGACTCAGTTAGGTCCAAAACCATTTGATGTGTTGATATCTTTTACTGTTAACACATTGTCGATCTCTTGAGCCTAGTTCTAGACACACAAGTGGTTTAGCTCCATATGGTTTATGTCAAGCTTTTTAATCTCGGAGCTTTCTGCAATTGCAGCGAGGTTTGGTCCCCGAAGCAGAGGTTGAGGGCAGGATAAAGCGGCGTAGAAAAGAGGAAGAGAGTGAGCACACAAAGGAAGAGGAGCTTGAAGATGGAGAATGTGGTAGGTATTGAAAATATTTACACCAGGTTAATATCTCACTCCCATGTTTGGAGTTGTTTAGGCTTCGAATTTTCTTGGATTGAGTTTTGTTGAAACCGGTCTCATCATAAACACTATTTTGTTATCATGAGCTCCAGCTTTAACGTAATGAGAAATGGCTGGGTAGGTAATTTCACCTATTTTAAAATTTTGTTTTGTTACCAATTTTTGTTGAATATATAGGTAATTTCATGTATTTTAAAATTGATGTAATTTTTATTAAAAACAGAAATTATGCGGATTTTGAACTCAGATTCTAGCCATATATATATTATGTAAGTTATATGATTAGGTTGAGTACTCTATCTCATTATGAGATTTGTCTGCAAGAACGTCATCCTTTCCTACATCTTTATCTAATTTTTTTTTTATTGATTTGGGTTGACTTTAAGATTGATCTTTTTGTCAAAAAATTCTATGCATTAGGTAGTGAGTCTTAACAAGGTTTGCATATATATTTTCTTAATTTGTATTATTTTGCCAAGATTTCATTGGATTTTTTTTAGATATTTAGGGTGTTATTCAATCATGGATTTTAATAAAATTGAAATTTAACACTAATCCACTATTATTCAATTAATGATTCTAAATCATGCTTTAAAATCTAGTGTTATTACATCTTATATTTGTAAATCATGATTCATAGATTTTAAAATCTAGTGTTATTACATCTTATATTTGTAAATCATTATTCAACTAAGATTTTAAATACTTCATTAAAATCCAGTGCTATTTAAAATAAAAAAAACTTATAAAATCTTTGTATATCAAGTCATTTAAAATGAAATCTCTTTGTAGTTTCATAAGTAAATTATTAGAATCAAAATCCAATATATTTAGAGTTGGTGTCTTAACTAGGTTGCCTGTACAAGAGAAATCCATACCTTCTTTGTTTTCAAAATATTTTCTTTCATTAGTATTATTTTGCCAAGATTTTATTGGATTTGTTTTTAGATATTTACTTGACTTTAAAAGTGCTAGTCTTCTCAATGGTCCGTTTACCATAAATATGCAAATACTAAATACATATGTTTATTTAAAAAGCCTGCTATAACGTAGATATCTTCATTCAGCCTGTAATACATCGCATTTTCACTCATAAAATTCACCACAAAACAAAGAGAAGCCAAAACGAAATATGAAGGGATTTTTTGGAGTTGTGGTGCTTCAGTTCATTTTTCTAACATTATCTTTAGCCACTCGCGATATAATTTCATTTGCTTCTGATTACGATGTGGCTAAAAAAGTTTTTAGCAGTACGAACAACATGGAATCTCTCCAACTTCCAGCATTTTATGTACCAAATGGTGAAGCAAGGAGAGTAGATCCAAGTGTCGTAAGCGATGAAACATCTCTACCTTCTCCATCGTTTTTCAGAGCAAATATTGGAACGAAAAGATTGGTACCAAGCGGTCCGAACAATGCAACATCTCCACCTTCTCCATCATTTTCCAGAGCAAATATCGGAACGAAAAGATTGGTACCAAGCGGTCCGAGCAATGCAACATCTCCGCCCTCTCCATCATTTTCCATAACAGATATCGGAACGAAAAGATTGGTTCCAAGCGGTCCGAACAATGCAACATCTCCACCTTCTCCAACGTTTTCCAGAACAGATATTAACACCAACATGGGTTAGAATAGGCCGATGGTCCGAATCCGTTAAGTGTAAAATATTATTGTGGGAATAAAATATTGAGACACGCATCATTATATTGTACCTTATGCATCTATATATGTATTATCATAAATCCAAGATATGTCTTCCGTCGTTCTCCTGATTTTGAAATCAACGGAATTAAATGATAATTAACATTGTTATATATACGTTTGGAAAGGTCAAAAGAGAAAAAAAAAAACACTACGTCTACGTCTACGTCTACGTTACGTAGATTAGCAATTTATCATCATGCTATTTTATTATATGTGAATGCAACGGAGAAAAAAAGATACGACTCTTTTTTCTTTTTGTGTGTATGTGTTACATATGTAAATGTGATTGTTGACAAAAGCAAATGTGATTACTGATGACATATACAGTAGTTGACTACTAAATTAAATATTTCAAAAGTCAAAGAAGGACAACTAGTGGCAATATCGAAAATATCTCAAATTCAAAGCCCTATATTTCACAATCTATGATTCTATTCCATAAAACCAAAGAAGGTGTGTGGGTATACAACTCAAAAGCGTAACGTTTTAGAGTTAAAAGATCAAAACAAACGCATAAATGTCTGAGGAGCTACGACTACAAAAAGTGAAATCTTCTTCTTTCTTAGTTATTTAGGGTTCTTTAGAGAATCAAGAAGAAGAAGAAGAACATGGGATTACAGTTGGAGAGTTTGATGGAGACGATAAAGTCAAAGGTGAGTTTGCTAAGGAAGAAGAAGAAACCTTACATCAAAATGGATAAAAGCTCCAGCGTTAGAGTTGCGATCCGTCGTAAGAAGACTAGAGATCTCATCGATAAGACCTTGAAGGTTGCTGATCGTCCTGGCAAACGAACTCTTTTCTGATAAAACTTCTTTTATTGCCTCATATTTTGCATGTCATTTTTTGTTGTTCTTCGTTCAGTAATTTGGTGTTTTTGATTCAGGAGATCAAGTTTGTGATAATATGTATAGTAATTTCTGGAAATAAATAAAAGAAAAATAATATAGAAAACATCAAACATATATGATTGATCGATGAAAAATATATTAAAATCTGCTATAGTTGACTTTTAGTGATAGGATCCTGTCCTGCTGATTCTTGAGTCAGTCTTACTATTTTTTTGTCGGCAAGTCAGTCCTACTTTTCATGGAGTTCAAGTGAAATAGTGTTAACCCAAGAAAAGTCCGGTTTAGAGTGTAATATCTTTGAAGTTTAAACCGATGCGGCTTTCTTGGAAAAAAGAAGAGAGTTCCATTATATAAACTCAGAAATCATCTTCTACACTTGCAAACTGAGATATTATAATGTTAGAGGCGAATTCATAACATATGCTGCTTCAAGAAGCCAACAAAGCTTCAACTTTTGCAATCTGTTCTTCCTCAGTGGCTTTGGCTGGACTCTTGTTCGCCTCCTCGAACAAGTCATGGTCCCATTTCTTCTCATTCCTTGCCCAGCTTCCGCTAAACCCACTACGCCCATTGCCGTTGAATCTGTCTCTATCAACTCGATAACTCTGTCTGCTTCCCGCGCCTCTTTCATCATCTCTGTTCCACACTCTGTCTCTTCCCATTGCTGGTCTCTCATGTCTTTCTGAATGCATATTTCTCCTCCAGTTTCTCTCGTTCTGTCTGCGATTGTTTAGATTCGTGTCTTTTCCCTCCTCAGTTCTTGTTCTGTCTGTGTTGTTCCCCTCTGCGATCTTCTTCTCCCTGAAGGCCGGTCGTTTCCTAGAGAGTGCTCCTTGGGTGTCGCTATCATGTCGCCACGAGCTTTTGTCTTCGTCTTTACGATGCTGTGACTTGTCATCATCTCCACCTCTTCGGTTACTCTGATCTCTTGAACTTCTCCACGATCCTCTCTCTTCAAACATTTTAAAGCAACTAATTAAGTTCATAAGACTTAGCAATTCTTTTAAAGGTTATGGAATGAGGAAAAGGAAAGGTGAGATAATTTGGGGAGAATTACCAGAAGTTGGTCTTCTGTCACCTTTTCCATCACTAGGAAGATCATCATGCTGTTATAAGACACGCACAGGCAAGCCAAAGATTACATATAGCTGAGCATTGGAAGGCATTCAACTGTACGCAATAATCCCATCACATCAGCACAGATTAAAGGCTAAATATGCAGTAAATAGCAACCCAGTAATCAATTATCTCACCAAAAATTTTAACGGAGCTAATACAAGATCAAATATTAAATCTTATATAGCCATTTCATGGGCAATGAGAGCTCAGTAAAAAAAAAAAACATTCCAGCAGACCAAAAGCTTCCAAGACATCCTATGACCACAAATCTACTAGGACAGTAACAAAAAGGAACGTTATCAGATGGAAAACAATAATGAAAGGTTTTGGAACCTGAGAATAGGGTCTAGAACGAGGCACTTGAGATAGATGGGAAGCTTGTTTGGTGGTCTCATGATGCCCGGAGTGCTTCTTTCCACTGTCTTTTTTCGAACCATGAGCATCAGGTTCCAACGGCGCAGCATCTCTCAAGGACTGACGTGGTTTCTTCTCTGCATCAGTACCCTCCCTAACATCCAAATCCTTCTTAATCAGAACTCGTTCAGCTTCAGGTTTGCCATCTCTTCTTGATCTCTTGGGGCTAAAGACAAACATAAATAATTAGTTGTGGAAGTGGAACTATGATAAGCTCTAGTAAGAGTGATTTCTGAAGAGCTGACTAGAGAACCACTTCAAAAACTTGTACCAAAATTAGGCTCTAAAGAATTGACCATCTTCATCAAAAATCTCCAGTTTTCTTGAGTGAATGTGACCAAATTAGAGCAGAGAGATCATAGGATGATACAAAACAATCACTTCAACACTAAAACAACAACTGTGACAAGCATAAATTCCACAACAGTCAGCTTGCATTTCGTTTCCTCATTGTTCAAAACCGAATTTTAATCGCTTCAAAGTTATAATAGAAGATGAAGATAGAGCAGAAATCTCCAGAAGAAGCAGACCTGGGTTCGCGATCGATTCTTGAACGCTGTCGTTTTGGGTCTGAATCTCTGCTTTCTCGCCTCGTCGACATGTTTCTCTTCTCCGATGAAATTTTAGGGCTTACTCTTCTTCTCTCTTCCCACGCCTGCAACTTTTTTTTTTTATCTAATTTTCCCTTCAAAATTTCCTCAATATTACAGTTTCCGCCTTATATATTCTTCAAGTATCAGGAAAACCCCCATAAGCTAGAATTGTGCAGAAAAACGATCTGCGATACCATTATAAAATCCAGATTCCATTGGCAAACTAAACCGGAAATTCCGGTTCTCTATCTGTCTTTACCTAATTGCTTGAGTTAGTTTTGATAACAGCGATGTTAAACGTTAATCCTTTGGGAAAACATTATTACTCAATCAGTTGTTGATTACATAAAAGTTTGATGATCTCAAAATAAGCAAGAAGGAAGCTATGCAACTCTGTAGATGGTAATCTGCTCTATTAAATTGAAACTATGCAAATAGTGAAGGAGATGGATAAAAAGGTCTGAGAGTAGTAAGATCCTCCAAGAACGAAGGATATACATAAAAAGTCTCGTTAGATTAAATAGATTTGTGGCAAAGCCACATTATTCTCCTCTCCCAATATGTTGTTGGTCGACTCATTCAAGAAGGCGCTTGTACTTGCACCACCCGATGGCACCTACGTAGAGGAATATACTGCCGACAGAACCTCCAATTACAGTCCAAATGAATCTTCTTGGACCAGCTTCATTATCCTTGAACAACTCTATCGTAATATTCATACCAAATACACCAGCAACTGCGATAAAGGCGCTCATCACCAGAGTAGCTGTTGTTAGCATCACACCCATCTGCAGAAGATGATTCTGCTTGTCATCTAGCATTATGTTGATGTAGTCCTCCGTGTCATCCACATATTCCCTTAGCTTTTTTCATCAAAACAACCGCAACGTATTAGAAGAAGAATATCACCACCAAATAGAGTACAAATAGTATCTGGTCTATTTACTTACTGTTGATAGTTTGTTCAGTATACCATCGATCTGCACGAAATATGCTTCCAAAAGCATTTCAAGCTCTTCCACATCTAATTTGTTGGTCATGGCACTCCTCGTTGAGCTTGTATGAGTCCCACGGCTATTTCTGCTAAGTGCACTGTGAGCACTCATAAGAAGATGGTGAGCATCAGTTCCTTGTAGATATCTTTCATCTCTGTTAGCCAACGATGCAAATTCAGGAGGAAGCCTGGAGTAAAAAGGCAGATGTTAAACTTATATCAGAACAATAGAAGGTAGTATGCTCAGAAAGTTGATACATGCCTGTCATCCTCGTCTCCTTGAGGAAGATCAACCTCGAATGTATCACTCTCATTCATAGAAGAATTTGACGAATCCTCAAGTTTCTGAGCTAACTTCTCCGTAAGATACATCTCAGCCATATCTTCATCATCGTCTAGCAGATGTTCTAGCTCGTCCCTAACCTAGAACATGTAAAGAGAAAAGTATAGACAAACGTGGTTAGAATATGGTAATCTCTTAGGTTCACATCTACGAGGAAACATGATAAATCGTTATCACAATATCAAAGGAGCAATTGAATGTCTGAATCATAACACCTTCTGAACACGTCCAGTTATTGCAACCAGCCTGCTTTTAATCTGTCGAACCCGCTCCAAATTAAGGGTACTGATCTTGGAAGTAAGCTTGTCCAGGGCTGGATGAGCCTCTAACTCCAATCTTAAGGCCTACATTAGAAGAATGAATCGAATACCAAACAAGAGAAGAAAAATGCTTTGTCATGGAGCCTTAACATAAGTATTTACCTCATGTTCCAAACTGCTTGATGCAGCTTCAAGACAGGCTTCCAAAGCAACAAACTCAAATGGAAGAACCTTAGATCCATCTTGATTCTCAAGACTTTGCTTTGCATCCTTCTTGGCTTCACTCCCTTGATCCCCAGATGATTGTGGCGTTCCAGCTTCTCCTTGGGCAGGATCTGTCCTCGAATGAAGCTCTCCCTCAGATTTCTGTTCCTCCTTCACACGACACATAGAAACAGAGTATAGAGTGATTAGTAGCTAAACTTGGCAATCATACTCTTCACATAGCATCACCATTGCACAAATCAAAGAGTCAACCACGTCCCAACACGACATTAGCAATTATATACATATTCCATTGTCAAGCCAATATATTTTTACTTCCCAATTCCCAAACAATGCAATTAGCCTTAAACAAAAAGAGCTCCAAAAAAATGTCCTCCAAATGAACAGTGGAAAAAACCCTAATTTCTCCAATTACCTGAGGTTTAGTGGCGTGATGGTGACAGAGAATCCGCCTCTGCAACTCATCGATAAAGGGTGACACGGAAGGATCCTTGGAATTGAGCAACAAAACTTCTTGAGCGGTGATGATTGCCTTGATATGCTCCAAATTGATGACAATCGCTCTCTCTCTACCTAAAACAGTAGATGGATACGACAACAGTGGATCGAGAATCCGAAGATCTCTCGCCGGCAATCCTGTTCGCCGCATGATGGAGTGTTTCCCTTCTTCCTTTAGATCCGACTTCCCTGACGAGTCCAGTACCAACCACGACCTCACGCCAACGCCTTTCTTCCGTCCGCCGCCACCCACAACACCGGCGGGGTACATCGGTGTCGGCTGACCAGTGTTTGGCGTTGATGGATTCGTATTGAAATTGAATTCATCGGCTCTAGCTCCTCCTCTCATCGCGCTTACGATTGTTGTGATCAGAGAGATCGAGCAGCTGACGAATGTTGAAGTGGAATTGGGTATTTATATTACGGCTCGTCAGCAACAAAGGACAAAAAAGGTTAAGCCAAACCGCTTGTAACTTTTTCCCCAAAAAATAAAACCGGGTTTAGATTTTCCACCAAAAACCAAACCGGTTTTAGCTTCTTCTTTGAATTTCCGCAGTGACGGAGGCTGAGAGTTTTGCTTTTCAAATTTAGGGCTTTTAAAATCGGCGACGACGATGAAGTTGAAATCGGTGTTCGACGCTTCGGAAATCAAATCGGAATTTGAATCAGCGGGAATAAACCCTAATTTCGCGATTCCAATCTGGAAATATGTAATTCAGAATCCTGATTGTGTATGGGATGAGATTCCTTCATTGCCTTCTGCTGCTTACTCTCTTCTCCATTCCAAGTTCAAGACTCTTACTTCGTCTCTTCACTCGCTATTCCATTCCTCCGATGGCACAACCTCTAAACTCCTCATCAAGCTCCAGGTACTCTATACTCTCTCTGTTTCTTCGTTTTTCTTGTAAGTAACTTGGGCATGATCTGATTCTGTATACAATGATGATTTAAAAAAAAAGTGTAGAAGATTTGGCAGCTGAAAGGTTTTTACTTTGTGATTACAACACATTGCTTTAATGGATTCTGAGAACTTGTAATGTCTCTGTTATCTGATGAACTCATACTGGATTCGTGCTTTTGGTTTTGAACTTCAAGAATGGAGCTTTTGTGGAAGCTGTGGTGATGCGATACGATACTCGGTTAGGGATGTTAGGAGGGAAACCACGTCCTGGAGGTATAAGATCTACATTATGTATTTCATCTCAGGTATTGATTTTTATCACGCAGTGTCATCTTGGTTTATCGAATCACTGTGAAGGGAGAAAGAATTCTGATGTGAAGTATTTATCAATAGGTTGGTTGTAAGATGGGTTGCACATTCTGTGCTACTGGTACCATGGGATTTAAAAGCAATTTAACATCTGGAGAAATTGTGGAGCAGCTTGTTCACGCCTCTCGCATAGCTGATATACGCAACATCGTTTTCATGGTATATTGCATTTTGTATTACACAATGTGCACCTTGCCTTCTGGTTATTTGTTAATGTTGTCATTTTTATTGATGAAGTTTATTCACCAGTTGTTGCCTTGGTTTGATGATTGTGATCAGGGAATGGGAGAACCTTTAAATAACTACAATGCTGTTGTTGAAGCTGTCCGCGTCATGTTAAAACAGCCATTTCAGCTGTCACCCAAAAGAATTACCATATCAACTGTAAGTACCGAGAAAGCTACCTTGAAACATTCGTAAAACAGAGAAACTTATTCATTGAATTTCGTAGGAATACTTCAGGTTATGGAATTTGTCAATTTGATAAAGGGAACTGATAAATAAACTTCAATCCATTAAACCTTGCAGTATGCAGCTTTCAGCTTTTTTTTATCAGAATTTGTCAATTTGATAAAGGGGATGAAAAGGATTTTCTTCTGATTTTATTTTCCTCCCCTTAATGCTTGAACCGTATATTCTAGCCGATAAATCTAAATCATGCAATGCTGCCTGTGTTGACACTTTTATTTTAGCAAATAAATTTCCCTAAATCGTAATGTCATTTGCATAGGTCGGAATTGTTCACGCAATTAACAAGCTAGACAATGATCTACCCGGTGTAAGTTTAGCAGTATCTCTTCATGCACCAGTTCAAGAAATCCGCTGCCAGATCATGCCAGCAGCTAGAGCCTTTCCTCTTCAAAAGCTTATGGATGCACTTCAAACTTTCCAAAAGAACAGGTAGATCATGTAATTCTTAACTGGTTTTTATATTAAATGTTTGAACCACAATCCCCGTAGTTAAATTAAAGAACATAAGAACATTGTCCTTGGATTTAACAGTCAACAAAAGATCTTCATTGAGTACATAATGCTTGATGGAGTAAATGATCAAGAGCAGCACGCTCATCTACTTGGCGAATTGCTAAAGACATTTCAAGTGGTAAATCTTTGATGTCTTAATACTCTTAAAGTCTCTGCAATTATCTGATGATATTTTTTATGGAAACTCTGTGCTCTTTTCTTGAACAGGTCATAAATTTGATACCATTTAATCCAATTGGATCCACAAGCCAATTCGAAACAAGCAGCATACAAAGCGTATCAAGTTTCCAGAAAATCCTGAGGGAAACATACAAGATCCGAACCACAATTCGCAAAGAAATGGGTCAGGATATTAGCGGCGCTTGCGGTCAGCTAGTCGTGAACCAACCAGACATCAAAAAGACTCCTGGAACTGTGGAACTTAGAGACATTGAAGATCTGCATCTCTAATTTAGGACCAGAGACATGAAACAGACATTTGGAAATGGTTTGTAGTATCTTTGAAGCCACTCTTCAAAACCCTTTTCTTAAACTTCACATTTTGTCCTCATCACTTTGTGGAAAACACTTGGCTCACTCTTATATGCAAGTAAGACAAACAGAGATGGTCCTTGGTCCTTCTACACTTCACACATGGACATTTAACTTCTCTTTTAAAATATTCCCCAACAAGTGATGTTATGTCATCATTAAAGTTGTGGTAAATTGTTTAAAGGGAAAACTAATTTAACTTTAATGAAGTAAAACTCATAATAGTAAAACTAATTATCTTCTCTTCCCGCCTATAAAACTAACTCCATACCCTGTCTTCTATTCCATAAGAGAGAAGAAAACAGAGAAAGATGAGTGTAGGAAGATTTGTGGGTGTCTCTCTGCTAATAGCAGCTCTAGTTTCATCACTATGCGAGTCTCAAAAGAACTTTGCGTGTGACAGGAATGACCCTGCGACGGCTAAGTATGGTTTCTGCAACGTCTCGTTGTCGTATGAAGCCCGTGCCAAAGATTTGGTCTCACGTCTCTCCCTTAAGGAAAAGGTCCAGCAACTCGTAAACAAAGCCACGGGAGTTTCAAGGCTCGGTGTTCCTCCGTACGAGTGGTGGTCAGAAGCTCTCCACGGCGTCTCCGACGTTGGACCAGGGGTAAAAACATCATAACTGTACATATATGAATGTGATCATATATGAGTTGTTTTGTAATGAAATGCTAACGTTTTGAGTTGTTTTGTAAGGTGCGTTTCAACGGGACGGTGCCTGGAGCGACGAGTTTCCCGGCGACGATATTAACGGCAGCGAGCTTTAACACATCGTTGTGGCTAAAAATGGGAGAAGTGGTTTCTACGGAGGCTCGAGCGATGCACAACGTAGGACTAGCTGGACTCACCTATTGGAGTCCCAACGTTAACATATTTAGAGATCCAAGGTGGGGTCGTGGCCAAGAGACGCCAGGGGAGGACCCTCTCGTTGTTTCAAAGTATGCCGTGAATTACGTCAAGGGCTTACAAGACGTTCAGGACGCAGGAAAATCACGGCGGCTTAAGGTTTCGAGTTGTTGCAAGCATTACACTGCTTATGATCTTGATAACTGGAAAGGCATCGATAGATTCCACTTCGATGCCAAGGTAATTTATAAATCCATAAATTTCAAGATCTTATGATTGAGCTTAATGTTGATGAATTTGTTATTATTTTGGTGGGAAGGTAACGAAGCAAGACTTGGAAGACACGTATCAGCCGCCATTCAAGAGCTGTGTAGAGGAAGGAGATGTGAGCAGTGTAATGTGTTCTTACAACAGAGTTAATGGTATCCCAACTTGTGCAGACCCTAATCTTCTTCGTGGAGTTATCCGAGGCCAATGGCGTCTTGACGGGTCAGTCATTTGTTTTTTGCCAGAACCAGTTTGACCTAAAGATCAAAGATCGATTTATATATGGCGAATTGATTTCTTCGAATCTTTCTTGGTCGCAGGTACATCGTTTCGGATTGTGATTCTATCCAGGTCTATTTCGACGACATTCATTACACCAAGACACGTGAAGACGCAGTTGCTCTCGCCCTCAAAGCAGGCAAAAATATTTAGATGATCATCTCAAAGAGATCATTACATTAGATATGTCATTTTGATCTTTGAGTAGTAAAATATGTTGTTTTGTCTGAAACAGGTTTGAACATGAACTGTGGAGATTTTCTAGGTAAGTACACAGAGAATGCAGTGAAGCTTAAGAAACTGAACGGATCAGAGGTTGATGAAGCGCTGATTTACAACTACATTGTTCTCATGAGGCTCGGATTCTTTGACGGAGATCCAAAATCACTTCCCTTTGGTCAACTTGGACCGTCTGATGTCTGCAGCAAGGACCATCAAATGCTTGCGCTAGAAGCAGCAAAACAGGGGATTGTACTGCTTGAGAACAGAGGAGATCTTCCGTTATCGAAGACCGCGGTTAAGAAAATAGCAGTTATAGGGCCAAATGCAAATGCTACAAAGGTAATGATTAGTAACTATGCGGGTGTTCCTTGTAAGTACACAAGCCCTTTACAAGGGCTGCAAAAGTATGTACCGGAAAAGGTTGTTTACGAACCGGGGTGTAAAGATGTCAACTGTGGTGAGCAAACACTAATTTCAGCAGCGGTCAAGGCGGTTTCAGAGGCTGATGTGACAGTTTTGGTGGTTGGATTGGATCAGACGGTAGAGGCAGAGGGTCTTGACCGGGTTAACTTAACCCTTCCGGGTTACCAAGAAAAGCTGGTGAGAGATGTGGCTAATGCTGCAAAAAAAACTGTTGTGTTGGTCATAATGTCAGCCGGACCTATAGATATCTCATTCGCCAAGAATCTGAGCACGATTAGCGCGGTTTTATGGGTTGGATATCCTGGTGAAGCTGGAGGAGACGCTATAGCTCAAGTCATATTTGGTGACTACAATCCTTGTAAGCCTCTTATTTGAACCCTAAACCTTAATTAACACTTGACACAATTACTTACTTATTTGTATTTGTTGTTGCATCAGCTGGGAGACTACCAGAGACATGGTACTCACAAGAGTTTGCGGATAAGGTTGCAATGACGGACATGAACATGCGGCCTAACTCAACCTCTGGTTTTCCTGGAAGATCTTACAGATTCTACACAGGGAAACCGATTTACAAGTTCGGATACGGGCTTAGCTACTCTGCTTTCTCGACTTTCGTTCTCTCAGCTCCATCGATCATACACATCAAAACCAATCCAATCTTGAACCTAAACAAAACAACCTCTATCGATATCTCCACCGTAAATTGCCACGATCTCAAGATCCGGATCGTTATCGGGGTCAAGAACCGCGGGCAACGGTCTGGAAGCCACGTGGTGCTCGTGTTCTGGAAACCGCCTAAGTGTTCAAAAACTCTGGTGGGTGCTGGCGTGCCACAGACGCAATTGGTAGGATTTGAGAGAGTAGAAGTTGGGAGAAGCATGACAGAGAAAGTTACCGTTGAGTTTGATGTCTGCAAAGCACTTAGCCTTGTGGATACTCACGGTAAAAGGAAACTAGTCACCGGACACCACACGCTTGTTATTGGTTCTAACAGTGATCAACAAATCTATCATCATCTCAACGTTAGATTGGCCGGAGATTCAACGGTTTCTATCTGAAAAAAACAAAGCCCACAGATTCTACTAAAGTTCTTTATTTTCAAAAGTCAATACTGTAATGCTATCATCAATTATGACCAAAACCTAAATAAAAAATTTGGTATAATACCACAAAAAGGGTCAATAGTTATCCAAATATTTGAACCTATAGTAGTCAACTTAATACAATACAAATTTGATTTCTCTTCTTATGCCACATAATATAAATATTGGGTTTCTATAAAAAAAAAAAATTGTATTACAGAAACAGAGAAGTTTAATGGAGGGGTTAATTCCATATCTGATTCATGCTATCAAGAAAGACTATAAGCCTGATCATCAGAGGTATCGATCGATGTCTGTAGGATCGAGCCGAAGCTATCGACCATTAATGATGGGACAAGAAGGTTCTTCTTCGATGCAGGGATCTTCTCACCGTCGAACTAGATCAGACTACAATCCACCTGCTATAATGGATAAGTCTGATCAGAGATCATCAGGTTTTGGTCAAGAATTTGTGAATAAAGATTCTTCTTCTCAAAATATAGCAACAAAGACTTAGCTTGCAGATAGTCGTTGATTTTATGTAAGAAAGAAATTTATGTCTGATTTTCTATTTATATTATTCAATTTGTAATAAATTTGATACCTATCAATGAAATTAATTTGTTTATCTTTAATTTACTATATCGATCAGATATAATAATTTGGTCAAAGTAACTTATTAACAAGAATGACCAAGAATAGTAAAAGAGAACTGTCAAAATAACGAAATGACTAATAAACAGAGGACACAGAAGAATGATCTGTTGATTGCTTGGCGGTCAAGGAAGGAAGATCCCCGTTAGGGCTTTTTGATCATAGAAAAAGAATGAAGGATTTCCCAAAAACCCTTACTTCATTCTAAAAAGAATCTAAACACATTAGCTTCCACCGATCTTGTTCTTGTCTGTATGCAACAGATTGAGAAACGTAGCCTTCTCTGTTCGTTTCTCTCTGTGTTTCATCTGATACATTTACAAGCATTGCTTTTGGAAATGGCAGAACTAAGATCAGGTGTTCTTTTCAAGCTTCTAGAAGAAATGGGAGTCGGGAAAGTGCGAAGAGACGTCGATCACAGACCGGTTTTGCTGCAGATAAGAAGCATAATCCCTGTGTTAGCAGCTGGAGGATTATGGCCAAACAAAGGTTTCTTCTTGAGGATAACAGATTCAACACACTCAATGTATGTATCATTGCCGCGAGAAGAGAACGATCTTGTTCTTTACGACAAGTTACAAATCGGGCAATTGATATTCATCGAGAAGCTTGAATTTGCTTATCCAGTTCCTATGATCAAAGGCATTAGACCAACTCCAGGCCGAAGGGCTTGCACCGGTGATCCAATCGATCTAATCCCTAAAGAACGGATCGAAAAGTTCTGTGTCGGTCTATCGGATATGGAAGAAAACTATGATCACCAAGTGAAGAAGCCAAGAAGAACGAGATGGAATAACTCAAGCGTCTCTGAGTTAAATTTTACAGATTTGGGGTTATCGAAAAACCTTTCGAGTGTTATGGAAGAAAAGGATGATACAGAGTCAATGATTTCGAGTTGCTCTTCGTCTTTTTCTTCAGTAGCTAGGAGAAGAAGCTGGATAGGCTCAGGTGATAATAGGAAGAGAAGAGAGTCGTTAGATCCATCCATGATTAAGAATCATGATCATGACACTAAACATGCTTCAATTGCTCGAAGTTCTTCCGCTGTAAGTTTTACATAAGTGACTTTTCCCAAGAACATCTCCTGCGCGATTATCTGACATCTGTTTTTTTTTTATATCTTTTCAGACTTCACCTTCGCTGTCTATCCGAAGCTATGGAGGGATAGAGGAGAAATCAAGTAGTAGAACAAGAAGAAGAGATGGTGTGGTTTCACCATCTCCAAGATGGTCTAAAAGCTTAAGCTATGGAAGTGGAAGTAATAAGAGTAAGAACCTTCTTCCACCTAAAAGCAATACCCTTGAATCCTCAGATTCGATATCGAGGAAAAGAAGCTGGACAGAGACAGAGATTCTCTGGGATTCACTTCCTCCAAAAGTTGTAAATCTCGGAAAGGTAATAATACTGATAGCTTTTGATCAATCATAGAAAAGGGTTTTTATCGGTTTGAAAGAGAGCTCACTCACGAATTTGGCAGGAAATTCTGAGACAGAGAGATACGGCTATTCGAGCTGCATCCCAAGCTTTGTTAGAGGCTTCAGCTGCTGAAAGATTGCTCAAATGTCTAAGGTACAGAACTTTGACTGGGAATTAGTTGTGCCTTCTTGCTCAAGCAATTTTCTAACTGAAATGTTATATATAAAGGTCATACTCGGAGCTTTCGGACAGGAGAAACCAACATCAAGAAAATCAACAGCCACCAATTCAAGATTTCTTGAGTTTCCAAGCTGAGTTAAGCAAGAGCAGGCTCATCATTCAATCACTATCAACTGAAAAAACAGAGCATTCCAACTCCAACATAGTCAAAACAGGAGATGAGAGACGCGAAAAGGCGACTCAGTGGATCAAATCAGCATTAGCTACCGATCTCCAACTGGTTTCTTCTACCGCAAGTAAGCCTACACAGAGCCCCGGGAGAAAGGGTCTTACCCTAATTGCTCAAGAAATTGATAACCGTGAAGATAACACAAGCGAAAGCGACTCGGGATTGGGAGAGAGAAAGGAGAGGTTAAGCAGAGCATCGAGCGAACTTAGAAACTGGCTTAAGGAAGAAGGAAGAAGTTGGTATCTAAGCCGTGTTGAGAAGTATTTAGATGAGATCAGCAATGGAACAAAGTGGAGAGAAATGAGCAGTCAACAAGTAGGGGAAACTATGTATCAGATAAAACGAGTGAGTGATTGGTTAGACGCCATTGTTAAAGGAGAAGAAAATGAGGAAGAAGAAGAAATGGTGATGATGATGATGTCAGAGTTTGAAACAGAGGCTTGTGGTAGAGTGAGGAACAAGATTTATAGGATTCTTTTGAAACATGTTGAGACAACTTCTTTGTTAAGTCATCAACGTAGTACCAATCTCATGTCTAATCAACAACAACAACAACAACAACAACAACAACAACAGCACTTGTTCCAAAAGACGATGTCACTTTAGGGTTTCTGATCTTTTTGTTCAGAGAGACAAAATTCGTTTTGGTCGTGAGATTAGGGCTTAAGGTACAATTTCTTGTTTTGTATCTCTATGGTTGTTTCCGGTTATGGCGAGAAGGAACTGGAAATTTTCAGCGAAATTTATATGGGTTCGGTTTAGTGGATGATCAGTTTAACTGTATCGAGCCAAACCGAAATGGGGAAAGTAGAAGAAATATTTTTCATACGGAAATTGCGTCACGATTTTGTAGTATCTTTTTTTTTTTTGTTTAATTTGTTGGTTTAAGTATCGTAACGGTTTTAGTAATTAATTATAAATGTTATCTAAGTACATTTATATAAATGGTGTATGGGAATGTGTATTCAAACGAGATATAAGAGAGGTTTATTTGCAAAATAATTTTACATATTTATATCCACAAAACTTCGCGGAGAGTGGGATTTTGGTTTTTAAAGAAACTTTTTTTGTTATTTTATCAGATACAATTTACATAACATCACATTTAATTTGTATATATAATCTCTCTGAAGGTGGGATTTTGGTTTTAACAAATTTTATGTTATTTTATCCGATAACAAGTTAATATACATAAAATCATATTTTTATTAGAGATGCGATTTTACAAATGGGCTTATCTACTTGAACTTGATAAGCGAAGAGTTAGCACAAAGTACAGATTTTGGATTTTCTTTTTTTTCAATAACCTAGTAAAATACGAGAAAAGTGAGATCTCGAATGATATCGAAAGGGTGATATCTCGAGTTCCTATTCACTCTCTCCTCTGACCAGGTTTCTGATCAAATTAGGTTTTTTTCTTCTTCTGTGAATTTGCTTCAAAATCTGTGATCAGTTCTCTAAGATTCTCACCCTAAAGGGTTCATTTCATATAGCAGAGAAATCATGTCTGTAGCTAAAAATCTTTCTCCGGAACGAGAATCCAAAAGGCAGAAGAACATACCAGAGATCATGGAACCCTCGTTTCCATTGTTGTCTCCTGATAACTGTGGTCACTGGTACATTCGTCATGGAGTCTGCATCGTATGCAAATCAACGGTGGACAAAAATATCCAAGGCCGAGTTTTCGACGGTTTACAGCTAAGCAGCGAGGCTTTAGCGTTAACGAAGCGTCTCACAACGAAATTCTCTTGTCTCAACATGAAGAAGCTTCACCTTGTCCTTGACTTGGACCACACGCTTCTCCACTCCGTTAGGGTTCAATTTCTCTCCGAAGCAGAGAAGTATCTAATCGAAGAAGCGGGTTCAACAACAAGGGAAGATCTATGGAAGATGAAAGTCAAAGGAGATCCCATACCCATAACCATTGAATACTTGACAAAGCTACGGCCTTTTCTTCGCGAGTTCTTGAAAGAAGCCAACAAGCTGTTCACGATGTATGTTTACACAAAGGGTACTCGCCGTTACGCTAAAGCCATTTTGAAGCTGATTGATCCAAAGAAACTCTATTTTGGGCATAGAGTGATAACAAGAAATGAGAGTCCTCATACGAAGACACTTGATTTGGTTTTGGCTGATGAACGTGGAGTGGTGATTGTGGATGATACGCGTAATATTTGGCCCAATCACAAGAGTAACCTAGTGGTGATTGGCAAGTACAAGTATTTCAGATTCGAAGGCCGAGTGTTAAAGCCTCACTCTGAGGAAAAGACGACAGACGAGAGTGAAAACAACGGTGGATTGGCCAATGTTTTGAAATTACTCAAGGAAGTTCACCGTAAATTCTTCAGGGTCGAGGAAGAGGTTGAGTCACAGGACGTTAGGTTGCTGCTAAAAGATATAGAATTTGTTCGCCGAAGCTTTCTGTGTAAAATGATCTCTTTGAGTATGTAGAAATTTGTTCCCATTGGAAGTTTGTCTATTCATTCATTAGAAAGTTGTTTGCAAAATTTTCTGACTACAAAGACTGTAAAACGAATTCCATATATGGTGGATGTGGGTATTTCACTAGTTGATTTAAGGCTCAGAGATAGTCTTTGGTTCTTCTTAGCAAATACAAAATACAACATAGGAAGTCAGTTGTGAATCTTCCTTTCTAGGCCTCAAGATTTGGATATGCTTTGGGCTTCACTTCTATTTTATTAACGTTCCTTACAAAGATGGCCTCTAGTTCATGCCTGTAACACCTCAGTACCTCACACACAGAGACTCAAAAAGAATTCTTAACCCCAAACCAAATAGCAGATTTCGTTAGCTGCATTGCGGGCTCGTATTGTTTTTTTTTTTTTTGTGGTTGGTTCTGTTCATCTTGGAGTTTGGAATGATACATGATAGATTGTATCTCTCTTGGTCTTTGTTTAGTTATTGCTTCTCTTTTTTGGGCTTTGTTTTCGTGGATATCTAATTATTCCGCCGATTTGTGTAAATCTATCATGTATCATTCTTTGGCATTATCAATCAAATAAGATGACGAAAAAGAAAAGTTAGTTAGATAGGAAAAGCATAGACATGGACATGTGGAAGTTGAACTCAACTATTGTGGGGGAAAAGTAAACAATATTCATTCAACCAATTTAGCTAAAATAGATTATTCATATTTAACTCTTCTTCTTTTTTTTTTTTTTGACAGCTCATATATATTTGACTCATCTAATTTATCTTATTTTGTTAATTTAATGAATCATAATACATAAATTTACTTTTCATAAAGAACCATTTATTTTCAATAAAGACACTACAAACAAAAATCACAATTTGTTTTTTTAAAGTGAAGACCCCTCCCTAATCAGTAGAAAGTGCATTTTTATAAAGGTAACAAAGAGCTCTCAAAAATGGAAACGTATCAAGTGAGAGGGCATAATGGTCTCTTCTCTTCTGTCTAGCTTTCTGATCATACTAGGTTTTGTTTATCAATAAAGAAACCATGTCTGTAGTTGAGAATTTTTCTTCGGAACCGCAAGCCAAAAGACAAAAGATCGAACCAAAGATCAACGAGTCCTCTTCATCGTTATCCTCTTCTAGTAGTTGTGGTCACTGGTACGTTTTTCACGGAATCTGCATCGCCTGCAAATCAACAGTGAATAAAAGCCAAGGCCGAGCATTCGATTATATTTTCAACGGTTTGCAGCTAAGCCACGAAGCTGTGGCGTTAACCAAGTGCTTTACAACGAAATTCTCTTGTCTCAACGACAAGAAGCTTCACCTTGTACTTGACTTGGACCACACGCTTCTCCATACTGTTATGGTTCCAAGTCTCTCCCAAGCAGAGAAGTATCTCCTCGAAGAAGCGGGTTCAGCAACAAGGGAAGATTTATGGAAGATCAAAGCCATAGGAGATCCAATGGAATTCTTGACAAAGCTAAGACCTTTTGTTCGTGAATTCTTGAAAGAAGCCAACCAGATGTTCACCATGTATGTTTACACTAAGGGTAGTCGCGGATATGCTAAACAAGTCTTGGAGCTGATTGATCCAAAGAAACTTTATTTTGAGGATAGAGTGATAACAAAAAACGAGTCCCCTCATATGAAGACACTTGATTTGGTTTTGGCTGAGGAGCGTGGGGTGGTGATTGTGGACGATATGCGTACCGTTTGGCCCGACCACAAGAGTAACCTAGTGGATATTAGCAAGTACACCTATTTCAGACTCAAAGGCCAAGAGTCAATGCCTTACTCTGAGGAGATGACAGACGAGAGTGAAAGCGACGGTGGATTGGCCAATGTTTTGAAATTACTCAAGGAAGTTCACAGTAGATTCTTCAGAGTCGAAGGACGTCAGGTCGCTGCTACAAGAAATAGAATTTGAATTCAACGAAGAATCTGTAGAATGATCTCTTTCTGTCTTCTAAACTCTGTAGAAACTTCATGTAAGCATTGGAAATTTGTCATCTTATAAAATCAGTTTGCAAAGAGATTTTGACTACAAAGACTTTTAAACATATACGGTGAATGTGGGTATTTCACTAGTTAATTAAAAGCTCAAACATACGTTGATCAAATCTTTGGGACACTCCTAGCAAATACTAAAACAACCAACATAGGAAATAACTTGTGTTTCTTCCTTTCTAGGCCGCAGGATTCGGGTATACTTTGGGTTTTGGTTTCACTTCGATTTCGTTCACGCTTCTTACAAAGATGGCCTCTGGTTCTTGCCTGCAAAACCTCACACACAGACCCAAATCAAAGAAAATTCTAACTCGAAACCGAATACAAAGAGAGTACTATCCTTAAGTGTACGGTTTTGTGACAAAAACAGAAAGGGTGCGTTTAAAGCATTAAATTGTTTGTGATAATCTGTAAGATTAAGGCACAGGGTTATTCTCTGCTATGTTATCTCTATAAGCAACCAATCAAACCAATGCCCAAATCATCAGAGATCTCAAAGGCACACTATTCTAAAACTTCAGAGGATTAGAAAGGGAACAAGTTACTTACGATTTCTCCCCCTCTTCAAACGTGTAACTTGAAGCAACAGCCAGTAGCTGACCATCTCGACTGAATGACAGTGCCGAGATACTTGTTGGATACTTTGAGTACTACAAAAGGAACAAGGAGCAGATAAATTTTGTGCCACACTAACACTGAGAGAAAAATAACCAAAAGATATTGCCCATTACTAACCTGATATAACCTCTTCTTGTTGTTACCATCCCAAATGTTGACGAAACCATCACAACCTCCAGTTGCAAAGGTGCCATAGCTGCAATTAAAAATCTCAGATGATTACAGAGGAAAGTAGTTAACAGGAGAGATTTCTCAGCATTATAATTTCGCATTAGTTCTAATTAACATTTGACTCAAAACAAATTAGTTACAGAAACTGTTTACACACACATCATATTAGCATCCAAGCAGCTTTGAACTAGCTTTCAAAGTCCATTTGTTCTCTTCATCATTAGAATTTCATCTTAACCATTTCAATCAGCGGAAAAGGGTTGAAAACATCAACTATAATATTTTGCTTACTTATTATTTTAACCTTCTTGTGTTCTGTAAGTAGTACATCTAGAATTTATGAAACAGTTGGGACTTCTTCTAAGACAAGAACTCACATTGGATGGAAGGCAATGGAATTTACAGGGTAAACAATGTCCCTTCCAGCCTCTGATTTCCGATGACATTTGAAAGCATATCTGATAACAAGTTCAAATACATCTGTAAGTCAAAGTTGTAGAAAAGAGAAAGAAAGAAAAACACAAAGAAATTACTTTTTAGCTTGAGCAGCTTCTGACAGATCAAAAAACTCCATAGCAACCCTTCCTTCAACAGAGCTAAGAGCATATCCTGTAAATTTTAAATTTCAGAAATTCAGTAGTGTGGAAGAAGAGGAACTGAGAGTAGAGAGGTATACTTTGGAATTGGAAGAAAAATTTAGCAACCACAGAAACAATATGTGAGTCATCTAACCTGTTCCATTAGGATAACAACGCACACATCTCGTCTGGTATTTCAGTGAAGACTCTCTTCTTTGCTCAGGCTGAGACATATTTCTGAGATCATAGATGTTTACATGCCTTCCTGCTGTTGCCACTACCAAACGATGTCCAACAAGAGACATAGAGTAAACACGCTCTGGCTGCAAATATGTTCCTACCTGGGTGCGTTCAGGCCCACTTGCGCCTCTTGGATCCCAACATTTAACTGTTTTATCCCAAGATCCAGTGATCACTTGCCCTGTAACATCACACAAAATCATAATGTGTCAACACTACTTTGGAGGAAGTAAGAAAGAACCAAAATGCTGAAAGCAAAATATTTGAGTTCCGGATATAGTTACATTACAAGAAATAAGAAACAAAGTTCAGTGTCCCTGACAACTAAGGTACTAAATCATCCATTTAAAAGTAAGTATCATCAGAGTCATATAACAAAAATTGATTAGCTATGAGTTTTCTAGAACTTAAAAGCACCAGAAATCGTCAGTGTTAAACTAGCATAAAGAGCATGATTACCACTCTACCTACCTGCAGCATAAGAATACTCAACACATCGCACTGGTTTGTCATGTGTCCCCAAAATGTCCTCTTTGCCGACATTGAATACAATCCTGCATATAACCAGAGAAAACCCTTTAAACTAAAGAAACTCTACAACGGATTTAAGGCATTTGCTAAATGTAGAAAGTTTGCATAGCCGTCACTTTGTCAATAGAAAACTCGCTGTAAAAATCAACAACTTCTGAGCAGGAAATTAAAAAAATTTGAGCAGCCAATGTAAAATTAGCCTGAGGGGAAACATGCTTATGCCAAGAGTCTCTTCAAAGGACTGAGATTAGCTTGCAAACTTTATACACATTTGATTTCAGTACTGTAAAATTAAAAGTTAAGGACTAAGAATTCCAAATGCACAAACGAATTCATTGGCTTTGTTGTACAACACCACAAAAATCTCATTTCAAACGAATAATGATAGCTTAGCGGAGAGAAGAGAAGAGAAGACAATACCTTCTGACTTTGTAATCGGCGCCAACACTGAAGCCGGAGAAATCATCGTGAAAACAGCAATCGAGCACTGCTCCGCCATGTAAGAACTCCCCTTTCAACGAATTGGTGCTCACATCATACAATCTCACACGCTTAATTGCAGCAAACACAGAACAAACGGAAACAAAACTTCAGATGAAGGAAAAAGGACTTGAATCAAATCAGTCAAAAAGCCAAGTGAAGGGGTTTCTCAAACCTTATCCCATGAAGAAACGAGGAGATGATCACTGTTATTGGAAAATCGGAGATTGGAAATGCCGTCGGACGGCGGATTCGAGAGCTCACGACCGGCGGACGGAGTCGTAGTCATTTTTCCCGTTGAAGATCACAAATTCTAGGGCTTTCTACTTTCTAGAGAGAGAGAGAGGTTTAATTTTGAATTCAAATTCCAAAAGAACAAGAGTCGATTAGATCTACTCAACTAATTTTACTGGTTTAATTTATTTGAATTCGAATTAGCGAAATGGTCGGTCATTCGAAATTCGAATGATCCAAAATCTGAATCATGTAAATCACGAGTGCAACGAAGATGGGCCGTTAGGTGTCTGATAAGAGACTTACATATATCGAGCTTAGTGGGCTAAAACAAAGCCCATATTCTACAGAGCCTGCAAGCTTAAAAAGGTAAGAAGAAGAGTATAGAATCTGAATCAAAGAAAGCGTCTTAAACTGTATTTCCTCAAAGATGTTGTCTGTGCTATTATCTAACTGCCACGTGTCTTAAATGCCACGTGACGTCTCCGCCTACGCGTTTGGATAAATCACGTCCACTGTTTTTGCTTGTTGGGTATAACAACAAAAGTGACATGGGCCTTACAAGTGGTAACGGAACTCCCACGTGTCCTATAAACACTCCCCGTTTTAGTTACTAATACGGTACGCCACGCCACACCTAATCTTTTCCTCACCTACACTCAACTCCACTCAAGTTAGCTCAACATTCTTTTTTTCTTTTGATAACAAAATTCCAGTTTGTTTCTTTCCTTTTATTTATTTCTACGTATTTTTCGGGTAGAATCCAGGTGTTTTTATTAAACGAATCTTGTCGAGTTATTAACTATATAGATATGAGAAAAAATTAATTAATTATTAGCATGGGAAGAGTATTAATAAATAATTAAGATCATGAATCATGATAAGAGATAATGAAAACAAAAATCTAGAAAATTCGATAAATCTTCAAGAAGATTAGTACCAATTAAAACGTAATTAGGCGTGTACGCGTTTGGTTTAAGGCGTGACCCACACGACTCGTGGCGCGTAGCCAACACATAAGTCAGCTCCACGGGAAAGGTATGCTTCTTTTTTTTTTAATTTAATTAATTTTTTAATATTAGCTAAAATCTATTTGTGGGTTTACCAATTTGTTACTTTTCTGGTTATTGACTTTGAACCGGTCTCTCACTCGTGATGACCAAAACTTATTAGGTCAGCCGTGACCAAAAACAACCCGGTATTTTACAGTAAATTTCTCTTTATTCTTTTTTGGTCAAATTTGGTTTACTTTGCTGGTGTGGTATTTACTGATTATTTCCAATTATATGAAAATCTTAAAATTAGTTAACAAAATAAATATGTTAAAAATATGATTTGTTAAGCCTAATATAATTTTCTATCAGATATATCTGACACATATCAAGAGCTAACAAGCAATAGATGATATATTATCAAAAAATGCTATATAATAAGAATAATAATAAAATCATATTGTTGATACTAAAACATTGTGAAATTTCCTTCCATGTTTACTAATACTATAGTGTTAGGTTTATTAAGGAGTGTATTGACAAAAAAGAAGATAAAAATTTGACCGACTTAAAAACACATCTGCCACGTGGTTTCCATATAAAAACAACAAGTCCAAACATTTACTTCTTAAGCACTTCACTCTCTAATTTTCTTCTATCTCTCACCATATTCGCGATTAAAACTCTCTGAACTTTTCTCTCAATTTCTGATCCTCAAAAGCAAACAAACAGTTAAAGAAGATTCGTCTGAATATGGCCCTCGAAGCGATGAAGTCTCCAACTTCCTTCACCAGAATCGAAACGAAAGAAGATTTGATGAACGACGCCGTTTTCATTGAGCCGTGGCTTAAACGCAAACGCTCCAAACGTCAGCGTTCTCACAGCCCTTCTTCATCTTCCTCCTCGCCGCCTCGATCTCGTCCTAAATCGCAGAATCAAGATCTTACAGAGGAAGAGTATCTCGCTCTCTGTCTCCTCATGCTCGCTAAAGATCAACCGTCTCAAACGCGATTTCATCAACAGTCGCAATCGTTAACGCCGCCGCCAGAATCAAAGAACCTTCCATACAAGTGTAGCGTTTGTGGAAAAGCGTTTCCTTCGTATCAGGCTTTAGGCGGTCACAAAGCAAGTCACCGTATCAAACCACCAACCGTAATCTCAACCGCCGATGATTCAACAGCTCCGACCATCTCCGTCGTCGGTGAAAAACATCCGATTGCCGCCTCCGGCAAGATCCACGAGTGTTCAATATGTCACAAAGTGTTTCCGACGGGTCAAGCACTCGGCGGTCATAAACGCTGTCACTACGAAGGCAACCTCGGCGGAGGAGGAGGAAGCAAATCAATCAGTCACAGTGGAAGCGTGTCGAGCACGGTATCGGAAGAAAGGAGCCACCGTGGATTCATTGATCTAAACCTACCGGCGTTACCAGAGCTCAGTCTTCATAACAACCCAATCGTCGACGAAGAGATCTTGAGTCCGTTGACCGGTAAAAAACCGCTTTTGTTGACCGATCACGACCAAGTCATCAAGAAAGAAGATTTCTCTTTAAGAATCTAATATTCGACTATTAATTCTTGTGTAATTTTTCATTTTTCATTTTTTTAGTTACAGTTTTTCATTTTTCTGATTTGGATTGAATATTCGTATATTGTTAGGGATTGATACAAAGATTTGATTATTGATTAAGTCAGAAATTCATTTTTACTTTGGTAACTAATCTAATCTATTGATCGGTCCACTCTGTATAATGTTGGACACGTGGCATTATATGTGTGAACACAGAGCAGAAATAGTTGGGGAAACGAGAATCCTTCCATGTGGGATTCGTTGCCTTCATTAGTATTTAGCACATGTATTATTAATTTGGTCCATAAATAACAATTTAAGATTAAAAAAAAGAAAAACTCTTTCTCTTTTTATATTCTTTGTCATACCTTCCGATATGGTTATTGGCCGTTAAAAATATAGTGTATAGCCTAGCTTGTTTTCTTTATTCGTATTAAAATCATAAATTAATTGCACATGCTTGTTACTTGTTAGCAAATGCATGCATCATTATTAATTTTTGTTTTGAAATTGATTATATCGAATCATAAATAAAGATGTGACCACGAACCTGTGTATTGGTTCTTAGGTTTGTGCTTAAAACATTAATTAGAGCCTAACTTCTACCATCTAAATATTATAGACATGAAAGTGAGAATTTAATAGTATATACTTAGCGTTGTTCATTTGATTTTAGGAAGTTAATTGATTTTTCACAAGTTAACACTCTTAATTAATTAATTTGATTATTTGATAGTGTACCAGACATTCGTTTTCTGTTTTGCTTTGATAAAATATTCAAGCTGAGGAAAGAAGACTAAACTAGAAACTGTATTGGCTCGTGTACGGTTCTACCTAATCTTAATAATCAGAACCAAACACGTTATTAAGTATAGGTCATTATTAATACGCGTCGCAAATGTAAAAGAACCACATAGGTTTTCGTTGAAATCTATGTTCTCCAACATTACTCAGTTAATTGTTCACCAAAAAAGCATATTCTAATTAAGTATAAAGTGATTGCTATTTTGGTTTGGCGGTGCTGAGATATCTTATACCAAAAGAACACTACAATACTCTTTTTATTTGATTGACATAAATAATATTTAATTTAGAGATAAAAGTGAACCCAAAATTGGAATAAAAGAGAGCTAGAGTTAAGAATTTACGTGAATGACAAGTATAAAACTGCTACAAGGTTGTGATTTTAGACTTGATATAGATCAAAATGAAAGTACTGAACAATATTATCAATTGAATTCATTCCATTCGTGTCGTTTTGCATATAAACTGTGATGTTCTTGACGTGTTGCCAATTATAATCTTATCCAAACACATCCCATTAAAAGGCATTTTTTTGTTCTTTTTTTCTTCTATTAAAAATATAACCGATCCTTGGTCACCAAGTCTTGGTGTCCCTGTTGGTTGTGTACTTAGGGCATCTCCAATGATGCTCTATATCTTGCTCTAAACTCTATATTTAGAGCAAAATCACTCCAATGGTGCTCTATATCTTGCTCTAAAAATAGAGATATGAATAGTGTTGCTCTATATTTGGAGCAACACTATTCATATCTCTATTTTTATAGCACAACTTTTTTATTTACAAAGTACTCCCTCAATTTTAATATAGTATCATATTATACCTAAACAAAATTATATAATTAAATTACATATATACATAATTTTATATTAAAAATCATAGTTACTAAATTAATTGAAATTTAAAATATAACAATAACATATATTAAATTAAAAAATAATGCCATCACAAATGATAAACTTAAAATATATAAAAACGATTAAACTTGTCGTTAAAACAAGTTAACACACCATAAACTAGTGATTTAATAATACGGTAGATCGATTCCGGATCCACTAATGATGATGCTTAAATAAAAATATATTAATCATTCGATCTTCTATGTATGTGTTGTAATAAAATTTAATTTTTAATAATATGATTATATTAGATATTTGTTTAAAAATAAACTAAGTGGATAGAATTTGCAAACTTTAAAAGTAAAGGACTATGTGAAGAATTAAAATAAAATATTAAAATAGAATATTTATTTTAGAGCAAAAAATAGAGCCAACTATTGGAGCAAACCTCTACTCTATTTTTTGAACACTCCAAATTTAGAGCAAGAAATAGAGCCAACGATTGGAGATGGTCTTAGAAAACAAATAAAAAGAATGACGTCATTTGTCTTATTCTTTTAGCACACTATGACACAAACACGTACTAAAGACGCATTGATGCGGCACATAAAAACGACAACAACTGTATACACAAAAGAGAAGAAACGACACATGGGAAATAAGAAAACAGCAAGAAATCCAACTCTAAATAAGAGAGATTGATATCTTCATCTTTATGTACATTTTTTTTCTTCTTCATTAGAGAACAAAAGCAAAAGATCTATTAGAAGCTTTTTCTGTATACAATTAAGCTAACTTCATAGGCAAAACTAAACACCACATTCTATTCTTTGACCTCTCTCTTCTGTAAATCTCCAATGCAGGAACTTAAATAAAAAAACGTCGAATCCCAGAGTGCAGTGAAACAGATATCCCGAGAATCTCACCTTGATCCGGTTGAAAACAATAAAGGCGGTTTTGGGAATCCGAGGGAAGGCCGTGGGAGTGTAAAACGTTGTTAGAAATCATTCATGTTGTGAAGTGGCGTGAGTAGTCGTGTAAGCTCAGAGGAGATCAGTTTCTACAGTTGTGAAGTCAGGTTGGTTTATATCCGGCTTAGTTGTATTATGTGCGTCTTCATGCTGCAGTCCGTTACCTAGCAAGAGGCATGATTTTGCTTATAAACACTAAGCATGGAAGAAAATGCAAAAGTAGAAAGCAGAGAGAGCATTCAAACCTGCATTGCTGCTACTCTTGATAAGAATCCTTGACACTGTTCAAGCAAAACATTTTCTTTCGCAGTGATATTCACCATTTCCGCCATTACTGAATTCATTTCCTCCACCTATCAATGACAGCAAAAAAAGAAAGAAAAATGCAACCAGGTTATGATCCACAAAACACGAGAAATAGTACTTTTTCATACAACCAGGTTCTAGTTTCTGACCGGAGCTAGTGTAGCAGTACCGAATACTCGAAATAATTTAGCCTTTTTAGAAAGAAACGCATTAGAGTACTTGCAGGACTAACTGGTTTTGAAAATATGCATATACGAATGGACAAAAGCGACTTTCCACATTCTATCTTATAATAACCATTAAGATAAAAGGGGCAAGGAGATAGGATCACAAGAAATTGGCTTGCATCTCTGTATTCTCATGATAAAGAGCAATGAGAAGATAGCTTCCTTAGTCAACATTCACGTTATAATCACTGACAAGGCATTTACCTTCGATGTCAGCGAGAAAATCGAAGACACCATAGCGTGCATGACATCAACGGCTGAACTAACAGCATGCTTGAGATCTTGAATATCAACCTAACAACACAAAAGTCATTGAAACCATTCAGAAAAAGGAATCTAATGTTCATTACCTAAGGATACAATATAAGACAAAACAACCATATCAGGGTCAGGCAAAGAGGCACTCACCAAGGCTTTTCCACTAATTGGAAGACGAAGTGTGCTCGCTTTCAAAGCTTCAGTCGCTCCTGACAAAGAATTTGAATGATCTCTGTCCATAAAAGACCATTCTTCTAGATAACCAATCTACAATTTCCAAATACAATGATTTCTTCAGTGTCAGAAAAGATTAGAGTAATTACAGAAAACAAGTCATAATCTCTTTTCTTTACACATGTCAAAAGTTTTGAACTTTTGAGATAAACTGCTTTCATGTTTCTTCACGTGTTTCCTTGTCAAAGATTCAGAATGCCATGAGAAGACGATTTTGAGCGATTAATGATAGTAACTTCCACAGATGCAGAACTAGAAAAAATTACTATACGGAAACAACCATCGACATTCCACATCTGTAATGGTGCAGTCATATTCTCACCTGCTCCTTCAAGATGGAAGCTAATTTCAGTTTCTGCCTCAGCAAAAGCAACTTGATCCGTTTCAGAGTGACAGAATGGCGTAGTTCCGAGATTGATACCCATGCGTTCCAGAGGTTTTTCTGTCAAAAAAAGAAATAGTGCGTTCACCAGATTGTGTCTAATTTACTGGACCACATCAATTACTCAACAGTTGAGTCTCAAGTATCTATAAGAATATCATATCCTAACGATAGCTAGAGTTCATAACCTTTTTCATGCTTATTCTATTTGCATCTGTGTCATCACACATTGGGCAAAAACTAGCATGCAGCACAATCCAAAATGTAGAAAGGCACAAAAGTTAAATCAAACACTGTTCTACGTCCTAGAGACTTATCAGGGATCTTTTCTTACCAGAGAAGTATAAGTATGCCCTGTTGGTATATTAGCAGGGCATTATCACAAAAGAAATGCACAGTTTAGAGGCTTAAACAGTTAAACATTTTTATACCGCACCAATAGCTAAAAAGAGTTTTCAAATCATGTCTTCCCTAAGTCTTATGCATTGGCTAAAAGCACTTGCGATCCAAGCAGGCACAACCATATACTCACAATTATTAACATAGCAATAATGGGCTAAAAAAAAAGAAAGAATACCTCTGCACTCAGTCTATGTACCATGAAAGTAGAGTCCGCCCTCGCATTGGCAAACCGCCATTGCAGATAACGGTTATACAGAAGCCTCAACAAGTGGGCATCCATAACGCGATCCTCCCCAATTTTTCCCCTCCTAATATCAGCAGAGAAACAAAGAATTGAAGGCAAGGTGCGGTTATAAGCATTCATTTGTTCAGAAACTCCATTTCTCACTCGGGAAGGACTAGAAAGTGCCCTAGCTGGAGTTGATGTAGCTGTTGCCCAAAGCTTACTTGGTGAAGCAGGGCGAGTAGCACCCCTTATTGGAGAAGTCATACCGCGAGGAGATGATGTCAACGGACTATCACTAGAGAACCGCTTCGATTGACTGAACTTTGATGATGAGATACTCCTGATTCTCGAACTTGGGCTAGAACTTCGAGGTGAGCCAGGATCCTGAAACCGCCTTAACCGGCTATTAGTCTCTTGCCAGAATTTAGCAGAAGCCACAGCATTATTACGCGGCAAGCCCCTTGTTTTAGAAACCTCACCATTGACACCAGAACAACATTCCTG